GTGGACGCGGTGTAGATCAAGCCCTGGGTCACTGGAGGAGGGCTTTGAGATGGGAGCAAAGAATACAGGCGCCTGGAAGTCACCCACAAGAGGGGGTGCCAATCATGGAAGATCCAGTAGTCCATATCCCCAGGATCCTCAAAAAGCCCTCCTCTCAAGTCTCAACTGGAGACCCTGTGTCATTATCATCTAAGCTCTGAAGGTGTGTCCCGACACTTTTAACTCCTTCATCAGGGCCTTGCAGATGACCCCAGTGACTCCCAACCTCTAACAGTGTCCTCATCTTCTCCCCCTCCATATTTTCCCTGACTCAGTATACGGCGGTATGCTCACTTTCTACATATCTAGATTCCCCCAATTCCTTCCCCTTATGGAGGCCCTCAATCTCTCCCATGGACTTCAGGACCCCTACTCATATCTTGCGTAATGGATCCTTCATCCCCCTTCCTTTACCCTTTTGATTTTTCCCCCTCCTCACTCTTCCTGGGTTCAGTCCCTCCAGTAAAAATTCAATCCTTTAACCCCTCTGTACTCAGGACCCCCACACAATTATTGAATCAGGTATTTCCTTACCCCTCTCTCATTAACCCCGGTTAATCCTCCTGTCTTACCTCTGTGGGGTCTCCCAGTGAATAATCAGCCCTCCAAACCCTCTCGGATACTCCAAGTCCCTCAGGCCTTTTCGTGTACACCCTGGAGACCCCCCCCCCCCCCACACACACACTTGCTTTGTATCAGTTCCTCCTATCCAGGGGAATCATCGCCTTCCCTGGAGTCCCTCCCCGTGTGTCTCGGACCAGCTCCCCCTTCTTCGCGCACCCCGGGGTCCCCTGAGCCCCTCCCCCTGCAGCCGCGCCGAGCCACCCAGCCCGTGGCCGCTGTTTACAAGGACACGCGCTTCCTGACAGTGACGCGAGCCGCCTCCTCCCCTTCCCCACGCTGGAGGAGGGGGGCGCGGGGGCCCGGCTTGCGCGACGGCCAATCGGAGCGCACTTCCGTAGCTGACAATAGCCGTATAAAGGCGTGTGGCTCAGGCTGAGCTGCCGGGACCTTGAACGCGGCCAGGCCAGCATCGGAGTCAGGTGGGAGCGGGGAGCAGGGGGAAGCGACACCAGGAAAGCGAGCGCGCCAGACAGAGGCAGAAGGGCTCGAGAGGCCGCACGGAGCTTCCGCGCACAGCCGCCGGCTGGCCTCTCCCTGCCGGTGCCAGCTCCTGGGAACGCGCGTCCAGATACCCGGTCCAGCCACCGTCGCGGACAGAGCGCCGCTCGCCGCAGCGAGGCCCGGGGCGGCCCCGCAGGGACCCCCCAGACCGCCTGGGCCGCCCGGATGTGCACTAAAATGGAACAGCCCTTCTACCACGACGACTCATACGCAGCAGCGGGATACGGCCGGGCTCCGGGCGGCCTTTCTCTACACGACTACAAACTCCTGAAACCCAGCCTGGCGCTCAACCTGGCCGACCCCTACCGAAGTCTCAAAGCACCCGGGGCGCGGGGCCCAGGACCAGAGGGCAGCGGTGGCAGCAGCTACTTTTCCGGCCAGGGTTCGGACACAGGCGCGTCGCTCAAGCTTGCCTCATCGGAGCTGGAGCGCCTGATCGTCCCCAACAGCAACGGAGTGATCACGACGACACCCACGCCTCCGGGACAGTACTTTTACCCCCGCGGGGGAGGCAGCGGCGGAGGCGCGGGGGGCGCCGGGGGCGGTGTCACCGAGGAGCAGGAGGGCTTCGCCGACGGCTTTGTCAAAGCCCTGGACGACCTGCACAAGATGAACCACGTGACGCCCCCCAACGTGTCCCTGGGCGCCAGCTCGGGGCCCCCGGCTGGGCCCGGGGGCGTCTACGCCGGCCCGGAGCCTCCTCCAGTCTACACCAACCTCAGCAGCTATTCCCCAGCCTCTGCGCCCTCTGGAGGCGCTGGGGCCGCCGTCGGGACTGGGAGCTCGTACCCGACGGCCACCATCAGCTACCTCCCACACGCGCCACCCTTCGCTGGCGGCCACCCGGCACAACTGGGCCTGGGCCGAGGAGCCTCCGCCTTCAAGGAGGAACCGCAGACGGTGCCTGAGGCGCGCAGCCGCGACGCCACGCCACCGGTGTCCCCCATCAATATGGAAGACCAGGAGCGCATCAAAGTGGAGCGCAAGCGGCTGCGGAACCGGCTGGCGGCCACCAAGTGCCGGAAGCGGAAGCTGGAGCGCATCGCGCGCCTGGAGGACAAGGTGAAGACACTCAAGGCCGAGAACGCGGGGCTGTCGAGCACTGCTGGGCTCCTCCGGGAGCAGGTGGCCCAGCTCAAACAGAAGGTCATGACCCACGTCAGCAACGGCTGCCAGCTGCTGCTCGGGGTCAAGGGACACGCCTTCTGAGCGCCCCCCGTACGGACATCCCCCCAGTCTGGACGACTGGGCGCACGCCTCCCAAGGGGCGAGGGGGCAGGCGGTGGGCACCGGCCCCCGGGGCACCGCAAACCACACTGGACTCCTGCCCGCCCGCTCTGCGCCCGGTCCTTCCACCTCGACGTTTACAAGCCCCCCTTCCACGTTTTTTTGTATGTTTTTTTTTTTTTTTTTTCTGCTGGAAACAGACTCGATTCATATTGAATATAATATATTTGTGTATTTAACAGGGAGGGGAGGAGGGGGCGATCGCGGCGGAGCTGGCCCCGCCGCCTGGTACTCAAGCCCGCGGGGACACTGGGGAAGGGACCCCCGCCCCCTGCCCTCCCCCCTCTGCACAGTACTGTGGATAAGAAACACGCACTTCGTCTCTAAAGAGTTTATTTTAAGATGTGTTGTGTATGTGTGTGTTTGTTGTTCCGACTTTTTATTGAATCTATTTAAGTAAAAAAAAATGGTTCTTTATTAATTTCTGTTGTCTTTTTTTCCAAGCCGGGCGGGAGGAGGGAGGAGAATAGTGGGCTGCCCCCACCCCACTCCTGTTTGTGACTCGCTCCAGTGTTTGTGTCCTCCTCGCCAGCTCTACCTAAGTATCTTGCAGCCTTAGTCCGGGCGTCCAACCCTTCTCTTGTCCCCTGATCTCTGGGGTTGGAAGGTCCAGGGCGGGGACGCTGTCCAACCGCCCATCACCAGGGGGCAGGATGCCTGGAGCGAGACGCGCAGTGCGCGGGCGCAGCCCCGCCCAGCAGCGCGCGCTGGGGCTTTCCCCGCTGACGCAGCGGAAGCGCTGCCCCTACATGGGCCGATTCTGTCCAGTGACGCGACGGCGGTCTCCGGGCAGATTCCGGGAATCCCCTCCCCCGCTCTGCCGGGCAGGGCTGCGGCGCCGGGAAGGGGGCCGGGATTTTCCCAGGCAGGCGGCTGCCCGGGCCCGGAAAACCCCAGGCCTGGGTCCAGAGCATCCGCGGTGGGAGGGCCATGCTCCTGGGTCCCGGAGCCAACCCAAAGCCTGCCTCCTCGGGTTGGCGTCCGGGCCCCGCCGCGCCCACGCGCGCTCCGTCTGACCTGACCCGGGCGGGGGCTTGCTGCAGCCTTCGTCGCCGCCGCGGTGCCCCCCACCCCCGTCAGGAAGGGCGGCTCCCGCCTGCCAATTTCCCCTCCCGGGCGCCAGGTTGGGAGCAGGGCGACTGCCAGGTCTGGTCCTGCCGGGGCGGCTGCTTGGGCCGCCGGGCGCCGTCGCCGCCCTCTCGCGGGACGCCCGTCCCCGCAACTGGGGCTGGTGGGAGGGCGGCTGGTGCTCCCGGAAGGGGTCTAGCTGGCTTCGGAGCTGGAAGCCCCCAGAACAGCAGAGAAAAACACACGCTGAGAAACCGCACGGGTGGGGTGGGCAGAACAAATTCATTAATTCATATATGAAATGCTGAACAACCTAGCCCAGGAGACACTGCCTGGACCATGGCAGACAGACTTTTATAAACAAACAAACATGATTTGGAGATGGTGGTAAGTGCTAGCAAGAGAAAAAAAACAGGTCCAAGTAGTAGTGATGGGGCAGGGGAGGTGAGCTGCTTTGGAGAATGGATTGGAAACGTGGACCTTTAATGATGCGACTTTTCAAATTTAAAGACAGGCTCTGAGAAAACAACGTTCTGGGCAAGAGGGAACAGTACATGCAAAGTTCCTGTGGCCAGAACAAGATCAGCTTGTTAAAGAACAGCAAGATACCAGTGTGTGCCTGGATTCGAGTGAACCAAGAGTGGGTAGATGAGGTCAGGGAAGACCACGGAGGGCCTTGGGGGAAGGAGTGTAGATAAAATTCCAAGGCCCACATGAGTGTTTTGGAGGGTTATTAGGCTGGATAGCAATATTAATAATGGGCCTATGGATTAAATGAACATGTCAGTCCTGTGGAAGGAAATGGGGGCTCAGAGTGGCAAAACCACTTGCCTGAACATGCACAGCATCAAACTGTACTCCTGGGAACACTCTGGCTCCTAACATCTGCCTCCCAGCCTGACCCTCACCATTCCACCCCAGGGGCAGGTGGGCAGCCCTTCCAACCTAGAGTGGGTCAGAGCTTGCAGCAGGGACTGTGCATGTAGCTCAAGCTCTTGGTTCTGCTCTTAGGACTGGGTCCCCACCCTCTTCTTCCAGCCCCAGGGACCAATCCTAATAACCATTAACTGGGCCCAAGCTTCACATACTGTATTGCATTTAATGTGCGTGGTGATGTGAGTTAGTTGTCTTTATTCTCATTTGACCGTTGAAGGGAAAATCACAGCTCTTGAATGGCATTTGAACACAGCCTGGCTGATGGCAAAGTGTGGGTGCTGTCCTGGGTGGCCAGGTTTTAGGACATAGGGCATCCTGGGGCTTGCTCCCAGCAAGGGGCCAACAGCCTACCCTACCTCCCACCCTCCCCCAACCCCCCCCCCACCCCCGCCCTACGGAAAGCACCCTCTGGCCAAGGAGAGGAAGCAGTGAGCATGAGGTAAGGCTCCCACCTTGTGGTGAAGATAAGTAACTACAGCGTCAGTTTCCCAGGGAGAAGGGGCAGAGGTGGCAAGGACACCAGGAGAGACCACACCGATGCAGACTCATGTCTGTCCTAATACTTTATTGGTCACCTCTAGGCCTGTGCCCAACTAGATGGGTCCAGGGAGGGGCTCACCATTTACCAGCTCCCAGCTGGGAGAATGAGAAGGACTTGGCCAAGCCCTCCAGGTTCACAGACTATGGAGTTTAAAGGGGCAAGTCTGGCCTTTCCTGGGTCACCATGGGGTATCCAGGTAGAGGTGGAGGTGGAGGCCAACAGCCCAAGCTTCCCACCTATCTGCAGTCTAGTTGTGTTTGGAGAAGTATTCCTTGCTGTCGTCCACGTTAGGCTTGATTGTGTCACTGCCTGGCTTCCAGCCAGCAGGACAGACTGTGGGAAGACACAGGGATGCACATTTGAGGCTAGAGCTACATCTTCAAGGTAGGGCAGTTATGAGGGGATGAACAGAGGCAAAGTAAGAGCCAGAGTGGCAGAAAAAAAAACCCAGAGCCAAGTGGTACAGCCCCAAGGCCATATAGCACGTTGGGAAAAGCCCTTCAAGCCCAGCTACAGGATGTTCTGGCTGACATTTTTATTTCTTTTTGACCACCCCCACACCGTTTTTTAAAGATTTATTTATTTATTTGAGGGGCGCCTGGGTGGCTCAGTCGTTAAGTGTCTGCCTTCGGCTCAGGTCATCATCCCGGGGTCCTGGGATTGAGCCCCGCATCGGGCTCCCTGCTCCGCGGGAAGCCTGCTTCTCCCTCTCCCACTCCCCCTGCTTGTGTTCCCTCTCTCACTGTGTCTCTCTCGGTCAAATAAATAAATAAAATCTTTAAAAAAAAAGATTTATTTATTTATTTGGAGAAAGCATGAGCACAAGAGTGTGGAAGTTGGGGGGGGGGGGCAGAGGGAGAGGGACAGGAAATCCTCCAGTAGGCTCCCCACTGAGTGTGGAGCCTGACAAGGGGCTGGATTCCAGGACCCAGAGACCATAACCTGAGCCAAAACCAAGAGTCCGATGCTTAACTGACTGAACCACCCAGGCACCCACCCCCCTTTTAAAAAGATTACTTTCTTCCTGTCCCTGGGAGGGGGGGGGAAGTGGGGGAAGCGGCAGAGGGGGAGAATCTCCAGCAGACTCCTTGCTAAGCACAGAGCCCAACCTCACAACCCTGAGATCATGACCTGAGCTGAAACCAAGAGTCAGACGCTTAACTGACTGAGCCATCCTAGTGCCCCTCTTTTTGACCCCTTTAATCCTGCTTCTCCGTCAGCCATAGACCCACCGGACATCGAAGGTCTGTGATCAGGCTGTGTCCTCCACAGGAGAAGGTACTCTGATCCAACTAATATTATTCAAGCTTGACTTGGTACATGCCTTCTCAAATATCTTCTATAGATCTGTTATCTCCCAGCTCCCACCCTCATATTGGGGTATCTACCCCACCAGACTAGAAAAGTCCTGCGGACGAGGCCCTGAACTGAATCTTCTTTGGGGCCCTCACATCCATCCCACACAAGTGATAGAGCAGGCAGTCAATGTCTGCATGAGGGCTGAGTATGTACCCACAGCTGAACCCAGGTGAACATGTGTGGCTGCTCACCTTCCCCATGCTCATCCGTGTACTGGAAGGCCTGCACCAGCCGCAGAACTTCGTCCACAGAGCGCCCCACAGGCAAATCATTGACAGTGATCTGGCGAAGGACACCCTTGCCATCGATGATAAAGAGGCCCCTGAAGATATCAGGGTTCATGGTGAGGAGCTGGGAGTTCCCATTGCCAGAGCCGGGGAGGGAGTATCAACTCCCTACTGGCCACAGGGCTGGGGGCAGGGAAGACAGTGCCCAAGCATTGTCCCCTTATCCTGAGGATTGGGGGCTCCCTGAGGGCCCCACAGTACCTGTAGGCAATGCCCTCATCTTTCTTCAGCACACCATAATCTTCGGACAAACTTCTGGTTATATCGGCCAGCAAGGGGATGTTCAGGGGGCCCAGGCCTCCCTCCTTCCTGGGAGTGTTGATCCTAGGAGTGGAAGAGACAAGTCTGGGACCCAAGATGCTGATACAGCAGGGTCCTCACCCTGGGGGCCTGGGTGTGATAAAGGCTGAAGAGGGGGTGCTGCAGCTGAGAGATAAGGGGCTTTAGAGCAAGGTTCTAGGATCCCCACCCACCCCACCCTGAAGAGGGTATAGGGGCTCTTTCCCGCAGCTGGGAAGACTAAGCCGAGGCTCCAGGTCCAGCAAAGGGTGTTCACATATGCCGGTGACCTCCCACATCTTGGGGCAGAAAGCCTGTCTCAGAGTCCCCATCCTCCTCTCTCTAGCTCTGTGTGTTGGGGCCCAGCCCTTCACTGTCTAGAACTGGAGTTTCCACCTTCTTGAAATAGTTATTGGAAGGGAGGTTGTGTTGCCCTAAGTGAGAGAAGGCATCTCCAACTCTCTGGGCCCAGCAACTAGTTTTCAAATGCTAATTACTGCCATCATCATTAAGGACTTGGGCGTCCTTAATTTTATTATTTTCAAGACGGGGAAAGGGAGGCCCAGATGTTGAGCAACAGCCGCAAGAACACATAGCTCGGATCCTATGGAGGACGTGGGCTTGGCTGCATCCTCCCTCCCTGCTAGTCCCCGCTCATACCAAGCCAGGTGGGTGAACTGAGAGTCGACAGAGACCCCCAGCACCTCACAGCCCAGCTTGCGGAAGTCCTCGGCACGCTCGCTGAAAGCGATGATCTCCGTGGGGCAGACAAAGGTGAAGTCCAGCGGGTAGAAAAAGAGGACCAAGTATTTCCCTGCGGGAGGGAGCGGGCAGAGACAAAGAGTTAGGCCCCTGATGTCTGGGCCCCACCCCCACCTGGGCCCACTCTCGGCCGCCCTCACCTTTGTAGTCGCAAAGCTTCACCTCCTTGAAGGCGCCGTCCACCACGGCGGTGGCCTGGAAGGGCGGGGCGGGCTTTCCGATGTGCGCCTTGCCAGAGGCCATGACTGAAAGCTGAGACCCGCGGCCCGGTCAGTGCGCCCGGGAAGACCCTTTGTCCTGCCTTCCCAAGGTCACGCTGCGTGCTGGGCCCGGTGACCGAGGAAGAGAGGCAGAGGGCGCAGCACTACCCCACACCCTCCCGGGTACCCGGTCTGCGCGGCCTTGAGACTGCAGGAGACCCGTCCCCCTGACCAGCAAAAGCGGCCCGGCTGCAGCCGCCGGGGACCCCCCCCCATTAGCGTGTCGGCCTGAGGGCCCTGGCGCAAGCCCACCGCTCCAGGAGGAGAGCCCGCGAGCAGGGGGCGGGGAGCTCGGCGATGCGGCCTGCACTGCATGCAAGGCCAAGGCCTCGGTTTCCCCCTGCAAGGACAAAGGCGGCCACTACGGCGGGCGGAAAACAAAGGCTGCAGCGCTGAGGTCTGGACCCGGCCGGAGCTGCTCCAAGGGGGCTCCCCAGAGCCCGGTGCCCTCCAGGTGTCCATACCTGCGTGGGCAAGGCGGCACGCACAGACCAGCACACGCGCGAAATCGCGTTCTCAGCACCAAGCGCGCCCTGGGCCTGGGTGCCTTTTATGCGCGGCACGAACCATGACGCATAGGGCGGGGGGGGGCGGGGGGCGGACGAGTGAGCGGTCGGGTCCACTGCAACCGCAGGGGAGGTGTGGGGAGCGAAGCAGGCCCGGTCCACGCGCCTGCCAGCGGCGGGAGGAGTCGCGGAGTCGCGGACCCCGACCACTGCCTCCGCTGGTGGGGGGAGTGCGGGCACCACATACCCCGCGAGGAGCTCCTCCTCGGAGCGCGCCCGGGTCGGTTGGAGTCCGGCATGGCCGGGAGCCCGGCGGACTTACTGCTGCTGCCTCTGATTCTCCTGCTGCTGGGGACCCCTGCCCAGGTCTCCCGCGACTACCATTACTTTGGCGAGAAGAGCGGAGGCGACACCTGGGAGGAACTGCGGCTGCAGCATCAGGAGAAAGGTAACCGCACGCCGCGGGTGTGATGGTGCGGAAAGGTGCCCCATTGCCCCACTTCAACAGCTGGCTGCAAACACACCCTCCTCCAGGGACTTCAGACCTCTCTCCCCATCTGCGCCCTGGCGTGGCCCCCTTGGGCTGGTTACTTTTCTCTGAGGCTCAGTTTTCTTATCTGTAAATTGAAATAGAGACCGACTTTAAGCCTCTCCCAGGGGAAGAGTGGACATGGGTCGGCAATAAACCCCCAAGCAGACACATCCATAAAGTCATGGATGTGTGCTAGGAAGGGTGGAGATAGAGAAAGGAGGGGACGGGTAAACGTCTGAAGTCAGAGAAGGCCGGGCTGAAGAGGATGGGTAACCAATGCAGCAGGAATCCAGCAAAAGCCCCAAATGCAAAGATTTAGGGAGAAGAGTGTGCCAGGGAATGGGAACAGCAAGTGCCAAAGCCAAAGGGCTGGACGGAGGAAGTGTTTTCTGGCTGAGGCTTGGTAAGGCATGAAGTGTTAGGACTTTGTGAGCTGCACAGTTGGGGTAAGACCTGTTTCCTAGGGGCATAGGGAGGAGTCCATAAAAAAGCATTGTAAAGAGCCCCTGATAAGCACTCAGAAGGTTGTAGCTGCTTGAAAAGTGGCCATAATAATTGCTTTTTTTTTTTTAAAGATTTTATTTATTCATTTGAGACACAGAGATATATATAGAGAGAGAGCATGAGCAGTGGGAGAAGCAGAGGGAGAGGGAGAAGCAGACTCCCCGCTGAGCCAGGAGCCTGATGTGGGGCTCGATCCCAGGACCCTGGGATCATGACCTGAGCCGAAGGCAGACACTTAACCATCTGAGCCATCCAGGCGCCCCCATAATAATTGCTTTTGTACTACATGCCAGCACATCACCAGAGGCTTTCAGTACCTTCGTTATATTATGCCAGTTATGTCACTTAATTTACCACCTGCAGCCCTGCTGGTTAGGTGACACTATGCCTACTGAACAGGCCCATCATCACACCCCTGAAGACAGGAGTCAGCTTCAGATCGTGGGCACCCAGCGTGTTGTATCACACTCCCAACTGGACAGGCTAGCGCTGCTGGGAAGTGTCAGTTTGCAGTTCCTCTGGGTCACATACCAGATGTATGAGCTCAAAGGGTGGCTTGCTTTCTATAGGTCTCAGTTTCCCCACCTTGGAATGATGGGGAAATTACATGAGATAATCTATGGGGGGGGGGGTGCCTGGCACAGAGGCAGAGCCCAGCAAACAGGAGATGTTGTTGTTAGTGTCTTTATCCTCCTGCCTTCCTAGAGGAGGTCCCCCCTACTTGGCCCTCCATCCCTAGACGTGGAGGACTCGATCCTTGGCCCGTGGGGAAAGTGGCGCTGTTTCTGCGACCTGGGCAAGCAGGAGCGCAGCCGCGAGGTCCTGGGCACAGCGCCGGGCCCGGTGTTCATGGACCGCGAGAATCTGGTGCAGGTGCGGCCCTGCAGGCAACAGGACTGTTCATCCTGCAAACCAACCGATTGCGACTGGAGGCCCTGAACCCGGGTGAGAGACAAATGCAGAGGAGGCGGGCCTAGGGCGGGCTGTCAAGTCCGGTGTTGAGAGTCCCCAGGGTGGGCGGGGAGAGGGGAAGGGCCGCGGGTGCGGGCGAGTGCGAGGAGGGCCTTTAGGGCTGAGGCTAGAAGATGGTGGAGAGGGGAGAGCTGAGTCAGGAGCCGTGAGCCCCCTCTGACATCCGGGGAGAAAGGAAGAAAGATGGTGAGGGGCAGGGAGGGGGAATCAGAGATGGAGGAACTGTGACCTTGAAGAAGGGGTATGAGCCTGATGCGGGTCAGACACCTACAGGCTGAGGACGTGAGCCCGCTGAGACTCGAGAATTGAGGGACATGAACCCTGAACTGGGGGGAATGGCCCCGCCTGGTGGGCGCAGGCTCTTAGCAGAAGTCTGTTGAGATCTGGGATCACAGGTGGGAGGGGGTGGGTGGGGGAGGCTTAGCCCCAGTTAGAGGTTAGGAAACAGAGTGGGGGGGGAGGGGCGAGGGCCCGGGTGACGTACCGAGAGGGAGAGAGAGAGAGTTCGACCCCAAATCTGAAGGCCTGAGCTCAGTGGAAGTAGGAGTACCTAGTCCAGAGGGCTTAGATTGTGTGGAGTGGCAGGGACAGGGAGTACAAATAGCCAGCATCCAGATGGACAGGGACCCCGTGATGTGGACACTGGCAGTATTCTGGCAATATAGTGGTATTTGACCTTCAAGGTCCCGACTGGGCCAAGTTCTCCAAGGCCTGCGTCAGTTTCCCGTTTATTTCCCTATCCTCCTACCAGCCCTGACGGGCGGGGCGTCAGGGACGCCGGGGCGGAGCTTGGAAAGCGACCCCGCCCACCCCGTGTCCCCAAGGAAGAGCTCGGCGGTCGGCCTTGGGAACTACAATTCCCAGGAAGCCGTACGGCAGGAGCTTCGGTGGCGCCTGCGCAAACGTCAACGGCGGCAGGAGCGTCGGGGGAGTGTCCTGGGCACCGATTGGTCGGGAGTGAGAGCCGTTTCGGGACCCGCGGAAAACGCGCGCCTGCACCTGAGCCTGCAGACCTCGTTCTTGCTGCTGGTGGCGGCTGCAGAGGCGGCATGGATCTTGGCGAGCTGGACGGAGACAGTACGGGCCGCTGTCGCCTGAACTCGCCTGTGCCCGCGGTGTGCCGCAAGGAGCCCTGCGTCCTGGGCGTCGATGAAGCGGGCCGGGGCCCGGTGCTGGGTGCGCCTCCGGGACTGGGCTGGGGGAGGGGCGTGATAAGGGGAACGCAGGTTGCACTGGAACGGGAGCTGGGATTGTACCCTACCCGGGGGGGGGGGGGGCGGGTCATAGTGGCGATGACACCGAAGAAAGCGGTGATGATGGAATAGGGATAGCGGTTTTCACTGGTTGGACCCCCGCTTCTCCAGGCCCCATGGTCTACGCCATCTGTTATTGCCCCCTCTCACGCCTGGCACATCTGGAGGCCCTGAAAGTGGCAGGTGAGCTGGAGTTGTGAGTCTCGTGAGGGGGTTCCTGGGCGTGTGCGGGGGGGGGGTGCAAACTGGAGGGGGAGAACAGGAGCTGGGAGAACTAGTCGCTCCCCTTCTTTCCCAACCCTCCTCCCAGACTCAAAGACCCTATCGGAGAGCGAGCGGGACAGGCTCTTTGTGAAAATGGAGGAGGACAGGGACTTTGTGGGCTGGGCATTGGACGTGCTGTCTCCAAACCTCATCTCTACCAGCATGCTTGGGCGGTGAGGGACCTCCCGGAGGGGCCAGGGTGGAGGGGCAGCCAGCATGGGCTGGAAGGGATCCGTATCTGGATCGGGGTTGACTGGGTTGTCTCCCACTGCAGGGTCAAGTACAACCTGAATTCCCTATCCCATGATACAGCCACTGGGCTGGTGCAATATGCCTTGGATCAGGGTGTGAAAGTTGCCCAGGTGAGCTGACTGTTGGGTTGCGGACGTTTGATCACCTCAGGATAAAATGGAGGTATACAAGTGCAGTGAGTGATTCAAGGTCAGACATACCTGGGTTACCTCAGGAGTATATGTTGCTGCCTTTGACATTTTACTACTTTTTCTACCCTAAATGTGTGCCCCACCCTGGACCAAGGAGGAGCCCCCAGCTCCACTCTCATTTAATTTATCTCTATATTCTAAAGGCTCAGAGTCCAGAACAAATCCCCATCTGTCCACCTGCCCAAAGCCTTTGTGCTAGCCCAGGGCACCCTCCTCTCCTGGATTCCTGCCCCATCCTCCCCCCACTTAGAGGCCTGTTCTTTACAGTCTGCTCCTTATGCAGCAGATAGTCATCTTCTTCTTTTTTTTTTTTTTTTAAGATTTTATTTATTTATTTGACAGAGAGACAACGAGAGAGGGAACACAAGCAGAGGGAGAGGGAGAAGCAGGCTTTCCGCTAAACAGGGAGCCTGATGCGGGGCTTGATCCCAGGGCCCTGGGATCGTGACCTGAGCCGAAGGCAGACACTTAACGACTGAGCCACCCAGGCGCCCCCAGATAGTCATCTTCTGAGTCATAGATCTCAACATTTAACTTTTTGATTTCAGTAAAAATTAAACCTGGGAAGTTCAGTGTCAAGTGGAAGAGAGAGTGAGATTAAATTACCAGAGGAAAATATAAGTTGGCATTGCATCCAGTACTTTGTGGCAAAGATCAGGCTGTTGGAGGGGATTGCAAGGATAAATACACTTGAGATAGGGAACGAACAAGGCCAACCTTGCTGGGGAGTTGGCTGAGGTCCTGGACTGGAACGTGGCCCTGAAGGTGCAGTACTGGAGCAGACGGACAAGAGCTCTGCCCTCTGGGGCTCATGGCCAAGTCAGGGGACACAGATGGTCAGCTGGTAAGCAGATGACAAAGGTGATTTCTGAGGATAACAGCAGTGGAGATCACGGATCTCCTCTCTCTACTCCAGCCATGAGACCTCCCTGCTGCTGTATAGCATACTCGGCATGGTCCCACCTCAGGGCCTTTGCACTGGCTCTTCCTTCTGTCAAGAATCCTCTTTCTGAGATCTCCCCATGACTCATTTCCTCATCTCTTTCAGGCCTTTATTCAGATGTCACCACCTCAGAGTGACCTCTCCGAATCTCTCCCACCACTGTTTAAAATGATAACCCCTCCCAGGGCACCTTGCTGCCTCAGTCAGTAGAGCATGGGACTCTCGATCTCAGGGTTGTGAGTTCAAGCCCCACGTGGGGCATAGAGCTTACTTAAAAAAACAAGTAGAGAAGAAATAAAATAATAATCCCTCCCGACTTTTCCCTGTCCTTTATTATTTATCCTGTTTCTTGTCTGTGGCCCTCACCAGGGTATCCACTCCAGGAAGACAGAGATTTTTGTCTGGTGTGTTTACTGCCATATTCTTGGCATCTGGTGTAGCCATGGTATGCTTAGGTGCTCGGTGAGTGTAGAATGTATTCAACTTGATCAGGGACAGCCTCTTTTGGAGGGGACTTTTTTTTTAGTAATCTCTACACCCAGTGTGGGGCTCAAGTCCATGACCTCAAGATCAGGAGTCGCACACTCTGCCAGTTGAGCCAGCCAGGTGCCCCTGGAGAGGACTTTAGACAGAGATGCCCGAGAAAGCTGCACCCTAGGGATGAGCCAAGAGAAGAATATTCCAGGCACAGGAATAGCGTGTGTAAATGCTGGGAGGCTGGATCACTTACACAGTTGTTTCTCCAGATGTCTGCTGAATGAATACATTTCTGTCACCATGCAGGTATTTGTGGACACTGTGGGGCCACCAGAGACTTACCAGGCGCGGCTGCAGGAGCAGTTTCCCGGCATTGAGGTGACAGTCAAGGCCAAGGCAGATGCCCTCTACCCTGTGGTCAGCGCTGCCAGTATCTGTGCCAAGGTTAGGCTCCTGCTGGCTGTGGCCAGCTCCTAGCGTCCCTCTGGGCAGGAGGCAGGCGTGCCTGCTTCCAGGGAGGGAGATCCCAAGTTTGTATCTTGCCCACAGGTGGCCCGTGACCAGGCTGTAAAGAACTGGCACTTTGTGGAAAAACTGCAGGACCTGGATGCTGATTATGGCTCTGGTTACCCCAATGGTGAGCAGATTAGAGCCGCCCTGAGACAGTGGTATTGGCAATAACACTGACAAGGGAGGCCTGAGCCCGCTTCCACGGTTTTCTGCGTTGCACTCATCCCGCTCCACAGTGGAAGAGCCTGAGGCTCAGACAGGGGGAGCCACTTGCTACGGCCAGCCTGTGGCAGAGCTGGATTCCAGCGGGCAGGCTCTCTCCTCCCTTCTCTCTCCCTCTCTCCTGTCTCTCTGGAGCCCCAGTGAGGGCCTGACACCCTTGGTGGGCATCTATTTGTTAAGGGGCGAGGGGTGCCAGCTGATGTCCAGTAGCCCCAGCTTAAATCTGTTGTTTTCTTCCCAGTTATGAGGCTCACTCTCCTTGTCTGTGTGGTAGGTGATCATGTGCCCACCCCCCGCCATGAGCAGATTTCTTTTCTTTTTTTTTTTTAAAGATTTTATTTGTTTATTTGACAGAGAGAGACACAGCGAGAGAGGGAACACAAGCAGGGGGAGAGGGAGAGGGAGCAGCAGGCTTCCCGCGGAGCAGGGAGCCTGATGCGGGGCTCGATCCCAGGACCCCGGGATCATGACCTGAGCCGAAGGCAGATGCTTAACCAACTGAGCCACCCAGGCGCCCCCATGAGTAGATTTCAAGAGTCAGTGGCTGGGTTCAAGGAACCCTCTGGTCCTTCTGAGGCCCAGGGAGGGATGGGCAGTTGGGTGGGGAGACACAGCAAGTCTGTGATTGGAACTTAGGTGAGGCCAAAGTAAGGAAACCAGGTCCAGGCCAAAGACAGTTTGGGTCGCATTTAGTGCTTACTGAGGGCCTGGGGATATAGCCATGAGCAAGGTCAACAGGGACCTCCCTGTCTCCACTGAGCTTCTAGTTTTGGGGGGGATTTTGGGCAGTAACACCATGGTCCACAGATGCTCATTTAATGACCGTTGTCCTTGAGGGGGTGAAAGGATGTTTCAGAGGCAGTCTCCCCTAAACTACCTTGAGCACCTGTTGGCAGTTGGAGCGGGGAGCTGCCTGGGCAAAGGTTCTGAGGCAGGAATGGGCCTCAAACAGTGGGAGGGGCCTCCGGTACTCTGGTGGCTGGAGAGGAGGTAGTGGGACCTCAGGTGCCAGGCTGAGGAACTCGGACATTGTGTCAGGGCTCAGGGACCATCACCACTGCCCACCCCGCCCTTCCCGTCCCTCAGATCCCAAGACAAAAGCGTGGTTGAGGAAGCACGTGGAGCCTGTGTTCGGCTTCCCCCAGTTTGTCCGGTTCAGCTGGCGCACGGCCCAGAGCATCCTGGAGAAGGAGGCAGAAGGTGTTCTGTGGTGGGTGTCCTGGAGGTGCTGTGAGGAAAGAGGGAAGGAGGCCAGGGCTCAGCCCTCCCTGGGAATACCTCCCCCCCAACACACCGAAGTGGCCAGTATCACCACCTCTCCCACAGGGAGGACTCGCCGACAGGGGATCAGGAGGGATCTGGGAGGATCATGTCCTACTTCAGCAAAGGCCCCCGAACCCACCCCCACCTCCCGCACCGGTACTTCCAGGAGCGAGGCCTGGAGTCAGCCACCACCTTCTAGGAGCCAGCCTGTTCTCCCTTTATGTGCCTCCCTCACCCCCCCCCCCCGCCCCCCTTTTGTGATTAAAAGTTGTTTACTGAAAGCTAAGCATTTGGTTGTACTTTGCGGTGGAAGCAGGTTGGGAGGGTGCTCTGCAGCTGGACCCAGCTACAGACTTTCCGAACCGAAACAGGATGGGCCCTGGCTGATTTTATTTTATTTTATATTTTTATTTGATTTCACTTTTTAAAGATTTATTTATTTATTTTAGAGAGAGTGCATGTGTGCATGGAGCGAGGGCAGGGAGAGGCAGAGGGAGATACAGAATCTCAGGCAGACTTCCATGCTGAGCCTGAAGCCCAACACTGAAATCACAACCTGAGCTGAAACCAAGAGTCGGACCTTTAATCGACTGTGCCACCCAGGTGCCCTTATTTAATTTTTTAAATGCATAATATATTTGTAGGATGCAGAATTAGGAGGGAGGACATTGAGAAGCCTCCCTCCCACTGTGCACCCAGATCACTAGTGGGCTTACCAAGGTGTCTGTCTCTTCAGGCTGCTATGATAACACAGCCCGGGTGGTTTATAAACAACAGACATTTATTACAGTTCTGGGGGCCGGAAGTCCAAGATCACAGTTGCCTGCATGGTCTAGTTATGGTGAGGACCCTTTTCCAGGTTGTAGACTGCCAGCTTCTCACTGTGTGCTCACATGGTGGAAGGGGCAGGGAACTTTCTCTAGGTTCGTTTTATAAGAGCACTAATCCCTTTCTTGACCTAATCACCTCTTAATACCGTTATCTGTGGGAATTAGGATATCAACATGAACTTCGGGGAAACAGACATTCAGGCTACAGCAGGTAGCTTTTACATCCTTCTGGAGATAGCCTGGCATGTTACAAAATATATGTGCGGATACTTTCCTGACGTTTGTTTTTGTTTTAGGAATGGAAACAAACTCTAGCCTAGATAGTGCACATTCATTACTCTTCACTGCATCTTGGAGATAATTCCAAATGGGTGCCTTCCTCGTTCCCTTTCTAGCTACAGAGTCCTCGGCGTGACCGTCCTGTGGTTTATTTAATGCTTCTTAAGAGACAATGGGTTGTCGCCCAGCTTGCCGTTACATTGGAGAATGACTGGAGTGGGCCATCATTTCTCATGCAATTTTGTCTGTAGGAAAGTTCCCGGAGGTGGGCTTGCTGGGTTAGAGGATCTATGTGGTTTGTAATTTGGAGAGATATTTCCAAATTCCTCTCTGTGAAGACTTCTACTCCATGGCACTCCTACCAGCAATGTAAGTAAGCACTTAATTCCTGCACAGCCTTGCCAGTAGCAAGATAGGTTTATCTCACTCTGAGAAGTTTGCAAGTCAGGTGGCTCAACATCAAGGACACCATTTTTTTAAAAAAAGATTATTACTTTTTTATTTTAGAGAGAGCGAGCATGGGAGGAGGGGAGGGGCAGAGGGAGAAGGAGAGAAAATCTCAAGCAGACTCTGCACTGAGCACAGTGCCTGACTCGGGGCTTGATCCCATGACCCCAAGATCATGACCTGAGCGAAAATCAAGAGTGGGATGCTTGGGGCGCCTGGGCGGCTCAGTTGGTTAAGCAACTGCCTTTGGCTTGGGTCATGATCTTAGGGTCCTGGGATCGAGCCCCACGTCGGGCTCCCTGCTCGGCGGGAGGCCTGCTTCTCCCTCTCCCATTCTCCCTGCTTGTGTTCCCTCTCTCGCTGTCTATCAAATAAATGAATAGAATCTTTAAAAAAAAAAAAAAGTCAGATGCTTAACCAACTGAGCCACCCAGGCACCCCTCAAGGACACTATTTTTTAAATTCATCTTCTCTTTTGCCATTTTTGATGTTTTTTTTTGCCTCTCATGGTCCCACTATGGCTGCCACAGTTCCAGACATCACATCTCAACCTCCAAAGGCCTCATCCCCAAGCAGCTGCCCTGTCACTTCCTGGCTGAAAGTAGGACATATCTATGCCCAAAGCAATCCCTGTCAGGGGGAAGGGAATATCGGGTAAAAAGTTAAGAACTGGTACCTGGGGGTGGGAGAGACCCAGTACCCACCCCCCCACCTCTTTCCCTCACCCTTGACCCCTCCTTGACTCAAGCAGTGGCAATTTCATAGAAGGAAGAAAGGGGATGGCTTTTCACTTGTTAGTAAATGTTCCGTTGGCAGAAGCCCAGGGCATTGTGGGAATATTATTTATGGAGCATGTATTAGTTGGTTAGGGCTGCATAACAAAGTGCCACAGACTGGGTGGCTTAAACAAATTTATTTTCTCACGGTTCTGGAGGCTAGAAGTTCAAGATGAAGGTTTTGGCAGGGTTGATTTCTTTCCTTTTTTTTAAAATTTTTTTTTAAAGATTTATTTATTTATTTATTTGACAGACAGAGAGAAAGCACGAGCTGCAGGGAGGGCCAGAGGGAGAGGGAGAAGCAGACTCCCTGCTGAGCAAGGAGCCCAATGCGGGACTCAATCCTAGGACCCTGGGATCATGACCTGAGCCGAAGGCAGATGCTTAACCGACTAAGCCACCCAGCTGCCCCTAATCTTTTCTTTTAAGGACTCCAGTCATTGGATTATGGCCCACCCATATGACGTTAGTTTACTTTAATTACCTTTTTAAAGACCCTATCCAAACATAGTCACATTCTGAGGTACTGGGGTTAGGACTGCAACATGAATTTGGGGAGTGGGATAACCGAATACCTCTCCACTCCATATAGGTCCCATGCTGGGCACCAGGAAGCCAGCGCTGAGCCAGCTATAAAAGGTCTCTGAGTACCCACTGAGGTCCAGGGGAGCTCAGGAGTGCAGGAGGGGGATGGCAGCTCTGCCCTGGGGCTCACAGAGCCTGAGGAGCTGAATGGCAGAGATCCGGAAGGGTGAGGCGTGGAACAGGAGGGTGAAGAGGGCTCCAGGCAGTGGGAACAGTAAGCGCAGATAGCTGGAGATGAGAAGACCTGCTTTGCGAAGGCCTGAGGGCAGGGATAGTGAAGGCCGATCTGGGGGAGGAACTGTGGCCTCCCCATTTCCCCACCCTAGGGGCACCTTCTATTCAAGCCACAGCCTCTGGTTATCATTGTAGTTGCAAAATGTTTACCCATCCAGATTCCATTAATAATTCTGCCCTGTCAAAAAAAAAAAAAAAATTCTGCCCTGTCCTTCTCTGTGCTGTAAATTTGTAAATTTATGCTCTCGAGTTTGGATTTACATTTTTTTCCTCAGAATTATTAGAATTACAGTTTATCTTTAATTTAGAGGCTCTTCTGACTGCTGATGGAATTTGCCTGGGCAAGATAAACTATCCCCCTTTTTCATAGCTGGCCATAACCAGAAGCCAGTGGGCACCCTAAAGATGTGATTTGCAAATGTTACTTCTTTTTTTTTTTTTTAAGATTTTATTTATTTGACAGAGAGAGACACAGCGAGAAAAGGAACACAAGCAGGGGGAGTGGGAGAGGGAGAAGCAGGCTTCCTGCCCAGCAGGGAGCCCAATGCGGGGCTCGATCCCAGGACCCTGGGATCATGACCTGAGCCGAAGGCAGACGCTTAATGACTGAGCCACCCAGGCACCCTTCTTTTTTTTTTTTTTTTTAAGATTTTTTATTTATTTTGACAGAGAGAGAACACAAGCAGGGGGAGCAGCAGAGAAAGAGGGAGAAGCAGGCTCCCTGCTGAGCAGGAAGCCTGATGAGGGGCTGATCCCAGGACCCTGGGATCATGACCTGAACTGAAGGCAGACACTTAACGGACTGAGCCACCCATGCACCCGCAAATGTTACTTCTAACAAATGTCTTTGAATCCCTGGATATTCAACTAGGGATCCCCAGATCAGCAGCATCAAGCTCATCTGTTAGAAATGTGGAGTCTGGGGGCACCTGGGTGGCTCAGTAGGTTAAGTGTCTGACGCTTGATTTTGGCTCAGGTCATGATCTCAGGATCGTGAAATCGAGCCTTATGTTGGGCTCCACCCTGAGCGTGGAGGCTGCTTGGGATTCTGCTCCTCCCTACTCTCACAATCAATCAATCAATCAATTCTTTTTTAAAAATTAAAAAAAATAAAATGAAGTTAACCATAACCCGTTTCTGGAAGGTTGCACACGATCCTGCTCTCCTTAGGACCGCCATGGGGGTTATTCCTCTGGTTCTCTTTCACCCATCTCTGCCCACCTTCTGCTTCCTGTCCCGAGGTCCTCACTGGTGTTCCTTATCCAGGTAGTCAAGAGTGTCAGTCCGGGGGTGCCCACGTGGCTCAGTCGGTTAAGCGTCTGCCTTCGGCTCAGGTCATGATCCCAGGGTCCTGGGATTGAGCCCTGCATCGGGCTTCCTGCTCAGTGGGGAATCTGCTTCTCCCTCTGCCTCTGTCCCTTCCCCCCTACTCCTGCTCTCTTTCTCTCAAATAAATAAATAAAAAAAATCTTTTTAAAAAAAAGTGTCCATCTGATGGATCTTTCTCTGTGTAAACCTTCCATGGCTTTCACACCCCTTATCATCAGGGCCAAGGCCCTTTGCCTGGTGTTCAAGGCCTTCTGTGATCTGACCCCATCTCCCATGCTGTGTTCCAGGCTCACTGAGCAACTGGGAATTCCCAGACCCTGAAATACCCAGGCCTTCTACTTGAAATGCCCTTGCCTATCGCTTGGTCATCTGCCTGGAGATCTTTCAAAGGCTTATCTACTTTCTTCCTTGAATGCCAGCTTATCCTTGTCACAATAATACAGTATATAACCGCAACAATGATAATGGATGACGTTTACACTTACTGTTAATTATGTGCCCGGCTCTTTCTAAGTATTTTATGTGACCTCCCTCCGATGAGGAGATGGAGTCTAGATGCTTCCCCTTGAATATGAGCTAGGTCTGGTGACACAACATCAGCGAACAGAGAGTGGAGACGACACTGATTTCCAAGGCTAGGGAGTCAGAGAGGAGACCACTTCAACCAGACTGTCTTGGAAACTCTTGCCCTTGGAGCCCAGATGCCATACTGTGAGGAAGCCCAAGCCACAGGGACTGGTCACGTGTAGCGATTCTGGTCGGCAGCCCCACCTCGGGTTCAAGGCAAGACCCAGTGCCAACCAACAGATGTGTGAATGAAGACGCCTTTAAGATGACTAACCCCGGCCAGTGTTTAAGTGAACAAGGACCACCACCAGAAACCAGAAAGAATAATGATTGTTGTTTTTTACCACTGAGTTTGGAGTTGCTACCCAGCGATGTACAACCAGAACAACTTGCATTCACTCATTAATTCTCCCAACAACCCTAGGAGAGGAATGATTATCATCCCCATCTGATAGATAAAGAAACAGACTCAGAATGGCTGGGCAACATTCGCAAAGTTACAGCATGAGTAAATGGTAGAACTGGGATGTTGAACCCAGGTGGACATACTCCAGAGTCAGGGTCATAGCCACGTCTCTATGGCCAATATATCTTGATTCCCTCCCCAGCACTCCTTAACCTTCTGGTTCCAGCACCTGATTTTCCTTTGGGACCACCTCTCCACCATCCTCAGTCCATATGGTTCAGATGGAACTGACCCCACCTTGCCTTCAGGCACAAGCCCATAACCCATATCAAGCCAGTGAGAGTACAGCATCCCTCTGGGCACAGTGATTGGTTTGGTGATGGGCTCATGATAAGGCAGGATCATTGAGTGCCAGCACTGGAAACTTTGCTGGCTTTACAGAGCAATAGGCCCATTTTAACCACTGGAATCATGTAGTTGCTGGTCCATCTTTGCTGTTGCGAGGAGATCCTGTCCGAAAGTATAGCCAAGAAAAAGATGCAGATAGATTCCTAACATCATTTAAGGACCTAGATACAGCCATTCCTGAAGCTCATCAATGTTGGCGAAAGGTAATTTGAGCTGAGTTTCTCTCTTGCGGCTGAAAGAGGTCTATCTGCTACTCTCGCAGGAGTCTCTTCTCTTATGCCTTTCCATCTTCCCTGAGGGCAGAGAATGGGCCTGATCTATCACAGCAGTGTCTGGGCACAGGAGACATCATCAGTCTTGTTCTATTGAACAGAACTAAAAGGCGCATTGCCCCTGTTTTACTGGTGAGGCTGTCCTAAGGCTCTTGGATAGGAGGAGGATCAGGAGTAGCACTTACATCCCAAATTTTAAATCTGAGTCAAGTCCTTTGTCTTAGGTAGAGGGCTGGGATTTGGAAGAAAGGGAGGAAGGAATGAAGGAGGCATCAGGCTAGCCACTGTTGGGTTGGCTTACTCAGAGGGGAGGGCCATAAAGTTTGTCTTGAGGTCTATACAAGTCAAGGAGCTTCCTCATGGACTTGGTGGCATACAGTGGGGGAGCATATCTTTTGCCCTTGTCAGCCCCTCTTCTGGACCCCTCTCCATTTCTGACACCTGGATATTCCAAGTTGTGAAAGTGCTCAGAATATAGGCTATCATTTACATGCTAGTGCGCATCACTTGCTAATTCTGGGACCTGAAGATTTGAAGTGAGACACTGATCACTTTCTGGCAGCTATTCTTGCCACCTATTTCCCCAAGAAGCAGCCACATCACAGTGCTCTAGTTGGCGACTTTATTCAGGGGGGAGAGGGCAAGATGAGCTAGAGCTGGATTATTTCTTTGATCACCTGGAGAAGGGCGAGTCTCTGGGACTCCAGGGAGGCGGGACAGGACTCGAAACTAGAAGGCAGAGCGGGAGAGAGGTGGAGCTCTGGGTGTCTTGAGGGTCGGGTCAGGGGAAGGGGCTCATCTCCCATCCAAGGCCCCGCGCCCCCCTAGGGGCCGCTGCCGCCTCCACTGCCACTCCCGCTGCCCGCACCATCCAGGATCCAGGTGCGTGAACGGCGGAAACGCGGGAAGGCGATTTCCCGGGCCTTCCGTTCCTGTCTGGAACCCGGCAGTACCGAGATGGAAATGTTGAGGCAGTGACCGGCGCCAGGAGCTGCCACCGGCAGCGCGTAGCCCAGAACCGAGTGGCAAAGGTCCGCCCCGTCAGCGAAGGTCTGGGAGAGGGGGTGGAGTTAGGGCCCGAGTGGGCTGAGTCCTGATACTCGGGGGGCGTGGCATTCGGGCTGGGGAGGAGGGAGGGCTGAGGGGCGTGGCCTTGGAAAGGGAAAATCCCGGACTTTGCAAGTTGGGGCCAGTGTAGAAGCGCGGTCTACAGGCTGTCCTAAGGCTCTTGGATAGGAGGATGATCAGGAGTAGCACTGACATCCCAAATTTTAAATCTGAGTCAATCTGAGCAATTACCCGCTTTGGGTCCTCCCGGGAGTGTGGGGGCGGGGCCATAACAGGAGTGGAGTCCTGGGAGGGCGAGTTATTTTTACTGGGTCCCAGGGTTGGGGTGGGGGAGGGCCAGATTAAGGCTGGGGCCTTAGGGAAGGTGATTCGGGCTTCTGGGTGTCCCAGGGGAAACTGTGGATGGGCCTAGAGCAGAGACGGTCCCTTGGGGAGGCCAAATCCAGACTCAGTGGGCCCTAAGGAGCGTACAGACGTATCCCACTATGGAGGTTGGGCTGCGGAAGGGGGAAGGGTGGGAGCAGGGGCCTTGGGAGTGTCAGTCCGGATCCTGGGGCCTAGGCGGGTTAAGACTGGACATAATAAGGGGAGGTCCCAGTCTCTCACCCGCACCTTCTGTCTCAAGCTCACCTGCTCATAGGTAGTGCAGCCAGGCTCACAGCCCCTCTTTTCTAGAAGTGGGAGCCAAGTCGGGCCGCAGGTAATATCGTTTTCGCATGTGGCAAACCTGTGGATGGTGTGTAGAGGGAAGGTGGGTAAAGTCTCCGCAGTCGCGTCCTAGTGGGTTTCCTGCCCTCTCTAAGTCTTCGCTCCGTGTATGTCCCGCCCCCAGATCCAGGTCCCGCCTCTTAGGACCACGTCTCCAGGGACGCCATCCTCCAGATTTCACCCTGCCCTATATTCTCCACACATACCCGGGGCCCTGGCACAACTGGTCTCATCCCTGCAGACTTCAGACCATCTAATTTAGGCCATCCCCTTACATTCCCCACCATTTTAGCTTCTCTTTTCTATCAGGAGGCCCCGCCCCTTAAAAGCCCAGGTCCATGGAAGGCCACGCCTCCGTACTGCCAATCTTAAAAGCCGGGTCCTTTACAGGCCCCGCTCCTTTCTACCTGGCCTCTAAACACTAGGCCTCATCTTTAGACCTTGGCCTTGTTGGGAGGCAGGCGACGCCCCTTCAAACTCTAGGATTAGCAAACTGCAGATCCTGCCTTTGGTCCTGCCCAAACCATAGGACACGCCCCTTATGCCCCGCCTCCCATACCAGACATCGCAGAGCTCGGAACAGAGCGGCTGCGCTTGGCGTATCCCCAGTAACAGCAGGCGGAAGCGACTGTGGAGGACAACTTGGAGGTGTCCCAGAAAGGATTCGCACCTGAACATCGGGAAAGACAGGCTCGTTTGGGTCAGGATGCACAGGGGCTGTGGCCCCTGGCAGGTGCAACTGGAGCAAAGAATACAAGGAAACGCTGGCGAGTACTGTACTCACCCGGGGCTCGGGTCCCCACAGCGTTCTGGGACCATCCCAGGGTCCGATGCCTCTGGCGTGTCCATCTCTGAGGGACAACAGGACCATGGAGAAGGGGACTCCTGTGAGTTGGGGTCTTGGATCCTCAGGTAGGATTGGGGAACCAAGGCCTGGGGGTCCCCTGAACATAACCCCAGTTATGTGAGTGCCGCCCAAACATTAAAGTTAAATAAAGACACTTCTCTTGGGACACAAATGCAATTTCAAATAATAATAATAATAATAATAATAATAATAATAATAATAGTTTATCATAATCAGCTTATTATTTATTATGTCCCTGATAATGGTATAAGTTTCCATATACTTACATATACCCCTTTACAATACCCCTATTAGGTAGGTCTATTATTTTTCTCCCTTTTTAATGGTCTACATGAAGTCCAGAGAGGTTAAGTGACTTGCTCAGAGTCACACAGTTATGAAGTGGCAGAATTGGGATTGGGATTTGAATCCAGGAGTCTGACTCCAGAATCTGTGCACTTTAACTACCATTCTTTTTTTTTTTTTTTAAGATTTTATTTATTTATTTGACACACACAGGAAGAGAGAGAGAGAGCGCGCAAGCAGCGGGGAGCAGCAGGCAGAGGGAGAGGGAGAAGCAGGACCCTGGGATCATGACCTAAGCTGAAGGCAGACGCTTAACTGACTGCGCCATCCAGGTGCCCCTTTAACTACCATTCTTCAGCACAAGCCCTGACTCCCCATCTTCCCCCACCCATGCGTCACCCTAAGCTCCTCTCATAAGGAAATTCTGGTATTGCTATGATGAAGTGGGATTTCTTGGGTGTTGGAGGTTAGGCAGGGTCTGGAGTGCTCACCTGCAAGGTGCAGCTGACCTGTGCCAAGATCGGCCGCCAGCCTATGATGTCTCCGGGACATAGCTGGGAGTAGGCGGCTTCCTCCACAGGCTCCCAGCAGGATCCATGCCAGGGTCAGTCCTAGGGTCCAGGTCAGTCCCTTGGGTCGAGCGTGGCCCCTGCAGGCCATGTCCACCTGAGACAAGAGTCAGCTGGGGTATGTGGTGAGGTTTGGCTGTCCCTTTCCGGGATCTCAGGGTAGTACCCTCCTGATGCCTACCCAAGAGACAGTGGCAGAGAGAGCAGAGAAAGAGCAGTTGATGGGGAGGCAATGACCAAGGACCAAATCCCACGGGGCCTTGAAGTCCTGCCTGTGACCCAGGAGTCCCTTCTCCCCCATCAGACTCATGTCCCCTCCATCCCTTTAGGCCCAAGTGCCCCCTCCTCTAGTTTGACCATGGTGCCCCTCCCCCTCACACCCAGCAGGATCTCCCACCCTGTTGGCCCTCAGGTGATCTCCTCTGTCTTCAGAACTAAAGGGACTCCCCAGCTCTTGCAATCTCCCTCTTCTGTCCAGTAATTCCTCCCTCTCTTCTGCCCAGTCTCCTCCCTCCCTCTTGATCCCTGCTGGCCCCTCTCATGGTCACCTTCTCTCGGCCCACAATCGGCTTAGGGGCTGCCACCAGGGCTGGGCCTTTAGAGCCAAGGTTGGCTGTGGCAGGACTCGAATTTTCCCGCTGGGGTCCAAAAGCCACAAGGTAGGGGAACCTGAGGGTCTGTGGAGACAAGACAATTCCCTCCCCTCCTCTGCCCCCTCTGGCCACTCCTCACCTGTTAACTGGACGGGGGTCTAGGGCGCTGCTGAGACACCTCAGGGTCAAGTGCAAGAAAGAGTGGCAGCCAAAGGGGGTGTGGTTTGATGCAGAGGAGGAGTTTCCCATTGCTCCACCCCCTGCTCCAGCTGACCAAAGGCCAATGAACCTGGGACTGCTGTGTATATATCCTTGTGTTGGCCTTTCTGTTGAGATTGTGGCTTAAACTCTATCTATGTGTATGTGTGTTGGATGAGAGTGTGTTTGTACGACTGTGTGTGTATAGAGAATGTATGTGTGTTGTGTGAGGGTATAATATGTGTGTCTCTTGGTTGAGTGGTGGTATGTGTGTGTGTATGTGTTCAAAATCTGGGTGAGGAAGCCTGTATGTATCCCAAGCCAAGTGTGTCCAATTGAGTAAGATATAATAAATGTGAAGGAGGGGGATGTAGGATCAGGATGTCTGTCCTGTGAGAATATTATGGATAAGTCAGTGGATAAAGGTTGTTGACCATGAATGGTGACCATTAGTGAACAAGGAGGTGTTGACATGTGTGGAGAGGGTGTGTGTCTGTATCTGAAACGTGTGTGTGTGTGTGTGTGTTCCTCTGCAGTTTCTATGAATGTGAGTTTCTTGCAAACATTCCCTCAATTCATCCATTCATTCAACAAATGTTTATGGAGCACCTCTTGTGTGTCAGGTTCTGTGGATGCAGGAAGAAATGAAAATCTCAACCTCGAGACGCCTGGGTGGCTCAGTCGGTTAAGCATCTGCCTTAGGCTCAGGTCATGATCTCAGGGTTCTGGGACCGAGTCCCAAATAGGGCTCCTTGCTCATCAGGGAGCCTGCTTCTTCCTCTGCCTGCCACTCCCCTGCTTGTGCACGCTACCTCTCTCTCTCTCTCTCTCTGACAAATAAATAAAATCTTAAAAAAAAATCAACTTCACAGAACTTACATTCTAGTGGGAAAGTCTTGTGAGAAGAACAGCCTTGAAGCAGGTATGTGAGTGCGTATGTGTGTCCATGTGTTGTGTAGGGAGGATACTGTGTCTGTGTGTTGGGTAAGAGTTTGTGTGAAGCTGAGTTTCTTTTGGTTTTGGTATTATGTGTGTGTGCTTGTGTCTGTTGAGTGTACATGTTGCTTATGTGTGTCTGCATTTGCTGAGTGTGTGTATGTCTGTGTTTTCTCAGTATGTGTTTACATATGTGTGTCTTTGCAGAGTGAGTTGCTGTGTATATGTGTTTGTGTTTGCTTGTGTTTGCTGATTTTGTGTTTGTATTATGTGTTTTTTTTAAAGATTTTATTTATTTATTTGAGAGAGAGAGAGTGAGAGAGCACAAGAGGGGGGAGCGGGAGAGGGAGAAGCAGACTCCCCGCTGAGCAGGGAGCCCGATGCGGGACTCGATCCCGGGACTCCAGGATCATGACCTGAGCCGAAGGCAGTCGCCTAACCAACTGAGCCACCCAGGCGCCCTGTATTCTGTGTTTTTGTGTTTGTATAGGATTCAGTGTGTCTGTGTTTTCTAAGTGCATATTTGCAAATATATATATGTGTTTGTGTGTGAGTCTGTGTTTGCTGAGAATGTGTATGTGTGTGTATTTTTGAGGAGTACATATTTGCAGAGTGTGTGACTATGTGTATGTGAGTCTGTTTCCTGAGCGTGTGTTGGTACGTTCGTGTCTGTGTGTATGTTTGCAGTGTGTGTGTGTGTGTGTGCCTGTGCTGGTAGTGTGTGCATATGCGTTTTTGTGAGCAGTGCCCACTACCACAAATCTCCCTCCCTTCTCAGGCTAGTGCAGAGTTTTTGTTTGTCTCCTTCACTGCGGAACTCCCAGATATCAAAACACTACTTTGTACATAGTAAGTGCTCAGTACGTGTTGAGTAAATTAACGAATCAGGAGGCCCTGTCTCCTGGCCCCTCCAGGGGTACCCACCCATTGATGTCCTATAGGCTTCAGCAACCAAGACCTAGTGGACCTAGCCTTCCCCTGGTCCATTTTGGGGGTAGCCCATGGTGCTCTTGTGTCAGATCTGTTCAGTCTTTGGGCTGTGCCTCCCGCCAACCCTTCCCTCCCCTGACCTCAGCCCCCAACCCTGCCTTCGGAATTCAGCACCGCGGACAGGAGCGCGTGAGATCAGCACCATGGAGAGCTCCCGCGACAGCCAGCTTTAGAAGAGGCGACAGGAGCGGAGTCTGGGCCTTTGACAAAGAAGTTTGAAGAAGAGATTTAGCGGGATGGCAAACAAACATGCCAACAAACAGAGACAGAGAGCAGCACTGAGATAACTCAGGCAAAGGCGCAGAGATGAGGAAACAAGTGTCTGGGGAACACCTGGACCTAGACCTTGCCGTCTCACTCATTGGCCGGCAGGGGTCGCTCCCGCCCGGTGACCGCGCCCTCCAGGGCTTTCCTGGTCAGTTAAGGGCAGGGACCCTTGGGAAGCTCCTTCGGCACCCTGTCCCCCAATGCTTGGAGTGGAGAGGTTGCCGATACTTTCCACACCAACTCTGGGAAGCATGGTTGGCTTGGTCTCAGCTGTAGGAACACTGCGCGAGGTGTGTGTGTGTGTGTGTGTGTGTGTGTGTGTGTGTGTGTGAAAATCGCTTCAGCTGCCCCCCTCCCAAACTACCAGCTAATCGCTCCTATAAATACAGTCCAGCCTGGCCTGCCTACTTAATCCTGACGGTGAGGGAGGGGGTCGTTAGAGGGGCTGCAGGGTTCCCTGAGGAGGCTCTGATTGGGGAGGGGGGCGGTATATGCATGCAAAATGTTTTTCTGTGGGAACATCTCCCGTGAGGATGGGTGTCCTCAATGCGAATGTCACTCTGTAAGAATGTATCTCCTCAGGATGTGGGGGTCTCATGGGTGGGAACAATTTCCCACAGAGAATATGGCTTTTAGGGGGGTCTTTCTTTGGGGGTATCTTCACCAGGCTCTCCACGGGAAATGTCACTCGTGGGGATTTTTCTCTGCGGAAGTGTCTTTTCTTGGGGGCGGCAGGGGGCTTTTGAGAGGAAACGCTACCTCTCAGAGACCATCTGTCTTAGGAATGATTTTCAGGGTGAGGGGGGAGTTTCTGATTGGAGAGGGCCTCCCGGTGGAGACTATCAACCCGTGGAAATGTGTCTCCCTGAGTGGGTCGCTGCGGGGAGGGATGGGTATCCGCATAAGGAATAATCTTAGTGAGAATGTCTCTCTTGGGTGTTTCTTGGGTTGGAGGTCTACCCATGGGCATGTCTCTCCCCTGGGGTATCTCTGCTTATAGGGGTCTCTCCGTAGCTTGGCTCCCTTGGGGACATAGGGAAGCTCCTCCCCCTCTTGCCCCCTCCCACCCCGCCGCGCGGGCATCCTTGGCCGAGGCCCGGCTCGGGCGCCCAGACGCAGTGACGGCGCCGGGTCCGCCCCACTTTGCTCCGCCCCCGCCACCCACCCCCCCGCCGCCGCCGCCGCCGCCGCCGCGGTCCCCGCGGCTTCTCACTCCCTCCCTCTTCCCTCCTCCCGCCGCCGCCGCTGCCGCCACCTCCCTCCTCCCTCCCCGGGGCCGAAGCCGCCGCCGCCATGGACGATTCGGGCCTGATCCGCCGCCGGAGGCTGCAGGTACGCGGCGGCCTCGGTCCCGGGTGGCGGGGAAGGGGTCGGCGCCCTGAGGCGGGGCCCGGTAGGGGGCGGGAGAACTTGCGCCGGGGCTGGCCGGGGCGCCCCCTCCCACCGCCTCGGGACGCTACCAGAGGGGAACGTGGTAGCCTCGCGTCCCGCCGCGCTGGCGACCCCGCCCCTCAGGCGCCGCCCGGGGATCCAGGGAACTGACGGAGGGGGTGCAGCCTAGCGCTCCCCCTCGAGGATAGCCTGAGGGGCACCTGGCCCGCTGGAGGGGGAGGGGGCTGGAACCGAAGTCATCGCCAGGGCGCAACGCCAGGCTGGGGGTGAGGGGGTGCAGAGCAAAGTTATTGCCCCAGGGCTCGCGCCCCTCGGGGCCACCGGCGCGCCGCAGAGACCGTAAACATGTTTATGCTGCAACCTAGCCCCTCACTACCCCAGGAACCCCTTTCTGAGGCGTGGGGAACCCCTTCGACCTCCATGCATCTGCCCGGCCACCAGGATTCTTCCTACTGCCCTAATTGGACAGACACCCTAGACAGCCTCCCTCCTCACTCTTCATTCCCCCTCCTTTCACTACCCGCCCCCCACCCCCCCGCGGGATCCTCAAGTCCAGCCCAGCTTGTGGGTGGGCGGGAGCGATTTTTAGCTCCTTGTAGCCTTAGAAGATACTGGTCTCCATGCTGCGCAGGCGCGGGAGTGAGTCCACTGCACAGAGTGGGACACTGAGGACTGTGGAGTGTGGGGAAATCCACGCGTCAGGAACTCCCACCTTAAAGATGGGTGG